AAGTATTTACAATGCTTTGCTAACCTGCAAAGAGCAGCCATGTGAAGGGTGTGCCTCTGATCCACCATCCTCTGCAGCTGCACGCTGCCACCACCGGAACCTGCGGCACTGAGGGAATTATAACTCTTTAATCCCTAGTAGAAGGATCTAAATCAGACTCTTTATTCATGACCTACTGGGTTTGTTTAATAATACTACTATTGCTGGCAATTGTGCCTACTACAGGAAAAAATAATCCATTTAGCTTGCAGGGAAATTGGATATATATAAATACTTGAAGTAACACTGTCACAGATCCAAATTGTTAAAGTATTTTTATTTCTTTAAATATTTCACTTGCTTCTAAGACTTCGATCCACCAGGTGATTTTCCCTTTGGAATAAGGGTTGCATAAAGTAAGTAATATATTTGAATTTTATAATTTTTTTTTAAATGTTGCTACTGAAGGATGACTATGTAGCAGTAACTATTAGAACGATATTGAGTAGCAACTGTCAAATCAGATTAAATACTTGCTGATGTATGTATTTAAGAACCAGTTGAAATGATTTCTACTATAAAAGTGGCAGAAGCATCCACAAAAGTATCATATGAAATATCACATTCTATATAGGTACCATTAGCAAAGACACAGTAGTAGTGTAAAGGAAATTCAGGCTCAGTAACAAGCTTTTGGGATGGACAGGAGGACACAGACACTGGATTTCTGCCTTCAAAATCCTGACTTATGTGTGTAAATATTAGAAGCTCTGTGACATTCAGGCAGAAGGAGCAGTATCAGCTGATTGTGCTACATGGTTTAACTTGACACCCCGCTCAAGGATCCATCACAAAGTTGAGAGCCAAGTTTGAGAGCAACACCTGCCCGAGGCCATTGCACACAGCCCTGGCAGGACAGTCAGGATCCCCGAGCACTGCAAACCCTTTCACTGCCCTGGTACCACTGCAGCTAATGCAATTCTGCTGCTCATTTTAACAGCAGAATGTACCTGCTTAACCTGCCCTGCTGGAACAAGGAAATCCTGCTGGCTCTGTTCAACAAGGCATAGATGATAAATACGTGCAAGCATACACACACAACTGAACTGTTCTTGCTCAGGAAACAAAATTACCTTACAAAACGTCTTCCTGTAAGTAACACAAGCAGAAGCTGCTCTTAACACAGAACCCAAAGGAGAGGCTGACTTTCTTTGCCCAAAGACAATATCTCCAAAATAACTGTCCTTTCTAATAACTCAGCTGGAAAGCACCTCTGTTAGCAAAACATTTACAACCTTCAATCTTTAAGTGATTTTTTATGAAATAATTTAAAGCTGAAGTTGTTTGTTCTCATCTCAGGCTTATGATGCAAACACTGAGCAGCTATGAACTCTCAAAAGCATCCCAGACTCCTTAATGAAACAGTGCTGAACAGTGAATGCCCTGAGATGAGCAGGGAGGGCAAGGGGCAATTCTTACATGCATCTCAAGCTGCACTGTGACTGCAAAGACACTTGGTTCAGGGGGTTAGTAATAAAGGAACCATTACCTTTCGTGGCACTGATGAACCAGGTTGGTGATGGGAACAAGACTGAGCAGGAGAGCTGGGATGTGGCATTTCCACATGGGTAAGAGTAATTGGATGGAGCTGATACAAATCTGAGGGCTGGAAGGGACAGAAAAAGGCAAGGAAGGCAGCAGATTTCAGGATGCAAAGAAAAAGCTCCAAAGAATTTCAAAAGCATCTGGCTGCTGGATGGGAAAATGGAGGATCACAGGTAACTCTGAACTGGAAAGGGGCACCAGGAAAAGTAAATCAAATAGTGAGTTTAATGGATGAACTTGACTAGGAATAGAACCCTCTTCTGCCCTCTTTCTTCTTCATATGTGTGTCTCATGGTCTCTTTGAGTCCAGTAACTACAGAACTGCCATCTCGATTTACTTTCCCAAGCAAAGACTAGAAGCCCAGATGAATTAAGGCTGTGAATGAAGACTGTGGCTATTACCAGGTGAGGAGCCCTGCCCAACAAGGCAGCCACACTTGGTGGGAACCAGGAGTACTACCAAGAGAAACGTTTAGGCAAGCTGCAATCCTTGAAGTACTAGAGAATTACATTTAGTCTTACTACAAAGATAAAGGGGGACAGCTTTTGGAGGATGACTTTGCTAGATTTATTTTTTTCTAGTCTTGTTAGTTTGTTTTGCTATTTTCACTATATTTCTCATATTAACTCCAATACTGATGCCATTTTAGAAACAAATGTCAAGTAGAAAGAACAAATATGAAACGCTTTCTGAACAGTTTGCTGAGAGCTGCACTCTTTTGTTTAAAGAAAGCATTCATATGGCCCCATTTGGAATATACCAACCTACAGAATGAGTAAGGGGTAAAAGCCCAGCGATTCTCATTTACTCTTTACACCACAGAAAAGAGAGAGGGATTGTCCCAGAGCCTTCAAAAGGCACTGTGAATCCTGAATCCATGGGCTGCACGCTGTCAGGGCAGGCTGTGGAACATCCCAGCCAGGCCAATTACCAGCAGTGGTGTCTCTGTGGTGCATGTACATAATCACCTTTGACACAGCAGCAGGCTCTGTCTGGTGTCCTGATCTTACCTGAGCCCTAGTTGTACCTTTCCTCTCATCAAAGTGCAGAGACATCCTGCAGTTCTCTGTTTGAAGGAACTTTCCCCTAGTGCACAGGGTTCAAACAGCAAACTATTCTCAAAACTTGACAGTAGAGCTCCCTTTATATTTAAACCAGTGACCATTCCTTGCTCCTTCTCAACAGAAATTACAAGTTCCAGTGTTGTGATCCAAAGCACTGCTTGAATTAGATACACATTCCCTTATATGAGCAAAAGAGACTTAGGTATGTTTATTGGCAAATATCTTTTTAATCATAGGTCTGCTTTGACAGTGGAAAACAAAGATCCTGCTCCATTTAAACATAAAGCTTAGAGACAAAAGAACAAAACAAATGCAACCCTGGCATTTTCTCGTACATTTTTAGCCAATCAGGGCAGAAATGAGTGTTTCCACTAAAATATTATGAAAACTGTTATAGCAGGTCAGGCCATTTCTTGCTATTTACTTACACAGAAGACAGAGCAAAAAAACCCCAAAACTTTGAAAACCACTCACTGAGATTAAATAAGAATGAATGCAAGGTAATACCATATGAGGAATAACAGCAATCAGCTTACATAATGAGCGAGTCAAATACACAAATTTACTGTTTGTCTGAGTAGCTTCTGATGTAACAAATACAAAATGTCAGGATCTTTTCTTTCTTCCACGTTCAAGAACTTGGGGGTTACAGAGTGGCGGGCTCAGACCCTAAGGTGAGCTGATGTTTGCTGTGTGTTCTGCAATATTCATCCCTGGGTGTCCAGAGAAGTGAAAGGAGCTAGGGAAGGGTCTGGAGCAGCTCAGGGAGCTGGTGGGGCTCAGCCTGGAGAAAAGTAGGCTCAGGGGGATCTTCTGGCTCTGCACAACTCCCTGGCAGGAGGGTGCAGCCAGGGGATATAGGGCTCTGCGCCAAGGGGACAAGTGACAAGATGAGGGAATGGCCTCAGGTTGCACCAAGGGGACGTTTGTGTTAGGTATTAAGGAAAATTTATCCACGGAAAGGGTAGTCCAGCATTGGAAGAGGCTGTCTAGGAAAGTGATGGAATCACCATCCCTGGAAGAGTTCAAAAACATATGGATGTGGCACTTTGGGACATGGTTTAGCAAATGAACATGGTGGTGCTGGGTTAATGGATGGATTCAATGATCTTAAGAATCTTTTCCAACCTTAAGAATTCTGAGATCTGTTCCCAGATTTTCACAGAGCAGGAAATGAAGAGGCAGCTGTGCTTCTCAGCACTTACAACTGCCACCTTTGATAAGCAACAAGAGGAAGAGCCACGTGAGCTCACCTATTACTGAGACAGATGCAAATCTTCCTTTTACTAGACTTCATCTGGCCTCATTAAAGAAGAAACAGAATTTCCTTCTGAAGGAGATATTTAAAACAAATTTTACAACAGATTGCAGACTTCTCCATGCAGGTCTTTACCCCCTCTCACTTGCACGTGGATTTGGAAAGTGCCAGTGTAATAAAATGCAACAGCTGCTTTCCCCAGAAAGAGCCTGCAGCAGAGCCCAGCTCTGTCCTAAGCTGGTTCAGCTCGATGCAACCCTGCTCACTGACATCCACAAAGATACAAAGAGAACATTCTTTGTCTTTTGCATGAAATAATTGGTTTCATGAAGCAGTAAGTGTCCTGGAAGAGTGGTTGTGTGTACCTGTCAGCAACTGTTTTACTGCTAACTAGACCAGGGAGAGAAAGAAGTACAGACACCACCACCAGTATCTTCCTTTCTTGTAATCAACTTGATTATAGAGATTTATATATAATTTAATTCAGAGTATGGCAGGAAAAGCTCCTGCACTTAAACTTGTCTGCTGTTGTAAGGCCATCATCAAACACACAATGGCAGCAGAAAGAAATACTGGCTTTGAGAGCTATCTGCTCTGGTACTCCTCATTCTTTAAACTACATCTAGCAGCACAAGAGTTCTCATGAAAGCTACAGCAATAATGGGATATAAAATATGTATGAGTCTGTGTACTGTCACACATGGGCTCTGTACAGAGTGTTTCATGCTTGACAGCATGCTCTGATAGAAGTAGACAGAACAACAGATGAGAAATCTACAGCTTAAAATCAAGGTTATTTTGTTACTTTTCCCCTTTCACTGAGAGCGGAAATAGAGTGCTAAAGCATGTGCAAAAACCCTACCAACAAATTAATAAGAGAGGACAAAGGCAAAAAATTAGGGATAAGCATAGTCCAAAATATTAAATCCCCCAACCCTTCAATGCCCCTACCTGATGTGTTGCATTAACTGAGGCACTCAATTGTGCAGAAATGCTGAGAGCTAGCTGACATTAAACTCTGTATTTGCTGCTCCAGTGTGACAATGGCCTCCAGCATTTCTAAATACATAAGAACCATTTTTTACGTAATTACCTTGTGAAGTCAGTCATCTCCATCATAATCACACACATCCTCTTGGCCAGAACAATTATGTCATTGCTGGTATCATCCCAGATTTCAATCTCTGCATCAAGCTTACTCTTGACTTTTTTGAAGTCAGCCACTTGCTCAGCTATCTTTTCCTTTTCAGCTTCTGGCAGTTGAGTCATCTTAGCCTAAAGCAGAATAATTTGATTTGTAAAACATCTATGTCAGAGTATTTTATATTAAAAAAAAAAACAAATAGCGCACATTAATAAATACATAGTTTAAACCCATTATGGCCTGAGCCAACTGTTTGAGTTTGAGCACTTATAATTTCAAAATTTGTAAGTTGTCACTGGGTTGGACCAAATAAATAATCTCAGTGTAATGGGGATAGTGGTGTTCCTGAAATCATTCATTTTAACATAGTGAAAGAGAGAGAGAAGATTAAATTCTTCCAAACAGCCTTTATGAAATATGACTGAAAATTTTCCCAGTTTCTTAGGGCTAAGGAGCCTAAGTAGTTTTGAGTATGATACATGTAAAAGTTACACAATGCAGTATTGATTCAGGTACAAAATAATCAATGAAAAGGGTTAATGGTCCTGAAACACTCAGCTATACTTATTCTCTCTTCTGAGAGGGTTCTATATCATCATTCTAGAAACTGAAAAAGATTTAATTGTTCAAATATGCATCTTCTGTCTTTGCAGAAGACAAATAGGTGACAGAAATCAGGATGTGAATAAGATTACCAAAAGCCCTTGAAAATGTAGCATTGTCAGAGAAATGTTTTTGTTTAATGCGCTCCATGAGCCTGCTGCAGTCATGGGTCAGACACCCCTCCTGTGTCAGCAACAGGCCAGGGAGCAGCCATGGGCTGGGATATTACATGGCCACATGGAGATCCTGGCCCTTCATCCCCAGAAGAGAGGAGCCACGCTGGTCCTGGTGGCTCTGTTGCCATGCTGGCTATCTGACACCTTCCCCTTCAGGCTACCAGGAACTCACAACTACACACAGCAATTATCAACATGTTGTCATTACTCTATAATTACACAATAAATATTTTGTGACTTGTTTAGAAAGCATTCTTGCTTAGAAAACATTGTCTACCACCAGTAAAATAGAAAGTTAAGGCCATGGTTGAATTGCTTCTAATTAATAAAATGGGTAAGCAGTTCTGTACATAATATGTATGTTTTCCAAGCCATGTCTTTTCAGAGGTTTTATTTATGCTAGAATCACTGTCACAGGGTTAGCTTTCTCACTTAGACAAATTACTGAAAATTACAGGTTTCTCAGCATGTACCTGTAATTGCAGTCACAAAATCACACAGAATCACAGAATGGTTAAGGGTGGAAGGAACCATCTCACAGTGGTCAGAATTACCCTATAGTCACAGAATTAGAAAGCCCAGCTATTTGGAGGCTACTTTTCCCATGTTGTTAAAAAATCCTGAAATGGCCTACAGAGGAAAGAGAACTTTTGTGATCTCATGCATATTTGCTGATGGGTGGATGGCTGGGGTATTTCCTAGCCCACAGTTTCAACCCTGTTTTGAGTTCAAGATCACAGACCTGGATCTTGAAACGACAAGAAAGATGACATTTTAATGAAAGAACTGTGACATACAGCATCCTGCTATCTGCCAACAATAATGAGCTTCAGGTGGAAGAGACATTATCCACTGGAACAAAGGGCAAAGGAAATTATAATTCTAACCTTGTCTTTTCTCTCCCTTCCCTCATACTGCTTTAAAACCATGTCCAATAAAAAAAAAAGCAACTGTATACAGAGCCTTTTAAGCACAGATTTAACTTTGTATCAAAATAAGCAGCATAACCATAATTGTGAAATAAAGATCTAAACTGAATGACTGTTACATGAGTGCAGGTTTATTCTGTCAAGCAAGAGAAAAATTATTTTTTTACTACTTCTAAGACAAAATGTTATTATTACAGTAGCAGGTAACAGAGTAAGGACTAGGTGAGAGAAGAAGTTATATCTGTGATATTTTCTTCTATTAAAAAAAAAAGTATGCAATTTTAAAAAAAATTTCCCTAACTTAACTTTTCTGAAGGCTGTTTGTCCCTGGTGGCTGAAGTCTCCAACACTGGAGTTTGTGTTATTTGAGTTGTCTCCTTTGCAACCTGACTGACCCCGTGTTTCCTTTCATTACCTTTCCATGTTTAGTCATTCCTCCACCAATGAAACAGAACTTTCAAGGCCATGTAAGGACACATGGGGGGTAACTAAGTGGTGATGATTTAGACTCTTCTCTCCCTGGTATATTGCTGGCCAGTGACATCCCAAGCCTAAGAACTGGCTTTTTGCTTACCTGTGTCTCAGGCTGCTCTCCAAGGATTTGACTTTCACATAAACTTTGATTAATGTCTTAAAACCTCAGATGGACATACGTTTTTTCTTTCCTCACCCCTAACACCAAGTGACTGGCCAGATTCACACCATCACCATTTTTACCACTTACAAGGACCAGGAAGGAAACAAAGGCAACAGAAAGCAGCACAATACATTCAAGCAAAATCAAAGAATCTCCCTTGAAAATTATTTAACACTTCCAGCTTTGTAGGCTGCAATATGTCATTTAACTACAGAGAAGAAAAGATGAAAACACTGGTTTACTGCAACTCTGTAGGCTGCAACAAAACAAACCCCAGTTTCCCAAATGAGCATATGAAAAACTTCTCTGGGCTTTTACATACAAGAACACAAAATAACCTGCTCTTCACATACTTATAAGAAAATGTTCTTCACATAGTTATAAGAAAATGTCAGAGATCCCAGAAGAACGGATTTGTGTCCCTACTTTGTCTTGAGAGCTGAGGCTTTCATTCCACCAGAGCCTCAGCAGCCAGAAGAAGCCCTCTGGGCTGTTCCTCCTCTCCTGCTGCAGTCAGCTGAACATTTGGTGGAAAACAACAGGACCCTGCAAATCACTCAAAGTACAGCAATATATTTCACAACAGTTTCACAATAGCTCCAATCATGACTTTTACCTGTCTTTTCCTTGAACAAACTTTGCAGACCACTGTCATAAAATACACATGTGAGCTGAGCCCTGAACAACCTGAGCTGGTGAGTGGCATCCCTGCTGTGGAACTAGGGGATGTCTGAGGTCTGTTCCAAACCATTCCCGAGTCAGATTCTGTGGGAATGCCAGTGTGTTCATAAGTGAATTCACAGAGATGCCACTGAGTCAAAGGGACTGTTAAGATGTCCACAACCTTTTACTGCTGCTTTTCCTACCGAGGGAATCACTGTGTGAGTTTGGATGAAGAGGTAACAGAGATATGCTGGATATTCAGCATTCACAGCTAAGTGAATACACATCCCCAGAGATGAACTGTGTGGGTGTGTGATGCTGACAGTGGGGAGAAGCTGTGTTTCTTTCAATACTTTACCACCTGCTGTCACAGCTGCATTCTTCCCATTTCAAGAATTGCAGCAAGCCTGCTGAAGTGCAGCATTCCTTAAACAAGTTCAGAGAGTGCCTCATTTGTTCTGCCATGACAGTTCTGCTGTCTTTTTAAATGCAATATAATTGCATAAGCCAGCTAAAGGGGTGAAAGTATTGGGAGATAGCAAACAAAGTGTTTAATGCCATTTTTGCATCAGCCTTCACTAAGAAGGTTGGCTTGGATTATGCAACTATGGCATATTAAATGTAATTTCTCTTTCTCCCAAGGCCATAGGCCTATGGATCAAAAAAGCATCGTCCTAAGTCTGGGCTTCACCAGAGCTTTGCACTGGCTCTCATGTCATCCTTACAAATAACCTGGAGAAATAAGATCTAGATGTAATATCCAGTGGGTGGATGTAATATTGGTTAGAAAACTGCTTGCAGAGCACTTATCAAGAACACACACCGAGCCAAGGGATCTATCAGGAAAAGTTGTGAAGGGAGCTGCATTAGTCAGTGTTTCCACAGAACCAATAGTCCACACCACACTCTCAGTGGGAGAGGCCTGGTTTACATCTCAAAGTGAACTTGAGAACTGATCTGGAAACATCACAGGATGTGTAGTGCAGCTGAGACAATGAGAGGGCTTACCCCTAAGAAAAAACACTGGCACACACACAGAACTGAGACAGAACCAGCCATAGGCAGTTGTGTGGGTGGGAATTTGTGGCTGACAAAAGGTTGTGCTCATGGCAGAAAGGCAAACTGCATACAAAGCTCCTTGTGAACTATGCACATAGCAGCAAAGAGTGCAAATTTCTCACTTGTGATGTTGAGATAACAGGTGACCTCACACACTTGGCCATATAAATAGTCTGGACACAAAATTCAAGAATTCATTAACCAGCTGCAGAGCACCCAGAGGAGAGAGAGACTAAAAGAACATACAGGAAACTCAACCCCGAAGAATAAATCAAGGTTACTGGAGTTCTTCACCAGGAGTCTCCAAAAGAGACCATAGAAAAAGGATGCACAAGTACATTAAAAAAAATACATAAAGGAAGGAACCTCACTCTCTGTATCCATTACAGATGAGTGCTAATGTGTTAATTGCAATATATGAGGTATAAGGACAAAAACTTTCCAATAAACCATCAAGTCCAGTAATGAGCTAAGTAGAGAGAGCAATGGAATTGTTCATATATATATATGTGTGTGTCATGAAGAAGTGTATTTATTCTGCCCTGGGCCAAAAGGCTGGATTAGCCAAATTCTTGAGGTTCTTTCCAGCTCTACTTTGTAGAAGTATATAATATACTGCTACAACCTTGAGTACTTCAGTAACTTCATCTCTTTACGGAAATTGGTTTAAAAATTGGCAAGAAAATGAAATGCTTTTGATAGCTCATGACTCCTGACACGGAATCTTTTGCTATGAATCAGGTGTCAAAATTACTATTCATAGAACCCACTCAAAATTACAGCAGTTATTTTCATTATGCTTGAATTCTTACCAATATTTCATGCTTGTGTAGGGCTTTGTTAAAAATTTTAAAAATATTCCAAAATTGGCTTTTATATTAACAAAATAGGACATGCTTTCTGTTAATGTACATCAGCATTTTATTTGATGTAGGAACTTAAATGCACAATATTTTCCACTTAAATAAAAATTGCTAATTTATCTGAAGGCAAACATAGCTTCTCCTCTAACTACTTTTTATGCAAGTGTCAACAGTTCTTCTCGGTCTTTGCTGTTTTATCCAGGCTTTCCTCTTGGAGTTTAGTATATTTTTAGAGCTATATAATTAATCACTGTATTTAAAATGCAATACAAATGCAACAATGAAATAACTTAGCCTGGATTTTTTCATTCACAGAACACATTGAATCAACTCTTTTTCAGCATGGAATTTTTGCACAAACACAGTGTGCAATGAAACTGTATTAAAAATTATCTTAATCTCAGACATTTTTGTCCATGCATTCACAAAACTGTCTGCAGAACTCTGAGAAAAAAAAAATGTGGGCGTGTGGCTGCCTGAAAGAGTTCTGTTCTTGGCAACCCTAAGTGGATTAAGTTGTGAGCTAAAACATTTTGCCTCTTCCTCAATATGATGACCTTAACCTGCAGCAGCAACTTTGAAATTAAGCTAAGCTGTTCTCATCACTAATTTACTAACTTCAAACACTTAAAGTACTTTTACCTGATCATTAACGTGTACATTGTTCTCTACGTTGAAAATTAACTGGGCAAAATCTTACTTACCCCTCTCTTCAACACAGAATCCCATAATAACAAGCCACTACCTCCCTCAGTACAATTACACTGATCATGATAGCATAAATAAGTCTGTCATAAGCTTCCAGAGCTGACTCCACAAATTACACACAAACACCAGAGGAAGACCTAACTTTCAGCTGGGAAAAACTGCATTAGTCCTTGGATTCATGAACAGTACCTGTTTCTATAGCAGCTAAGGGTTTGATCCTAAGGAGCTTCCTCTTCAAGGATGTAAAATCACCCTACAAACAATCATCAGCATTTTTATCCAGTTTAAGTACCCAGAGATCTCACAGTACACTGCCCTTGTATCCCCCAGCATGGGATGGTGCCACAGGCACTATTATATTTATCTCAGAAAAGGGAAATTATCTGAGAGGAAAGATCAATGAAGTAACATTTTCAAGATGAGTGAGGAAGATAAGTACGAGGTCAAATCTTAGTTCTACTATCTCACCACTAATCTCTGCTCTCTCTCTTTATGGAGATAGAGTCTGAAGGTGTGATTAATAATACATGACTTTTTCATACATAAGGGAAACAAGATTTGCTAGTTAAGATGTAGCATTTGTTACAAGTGGCATACACACATCACGTCTGGTATTATATGCTGTGATAAAAACAGAAAGAAAAAAGGCACCAGTTCCCCACTGGAGCAGTGAGAGATGTGACATCGAAGAAATTACAACACTCTTGACAAAGCAAGAGGAATCAAGAGTGCTCCTATGCAGAATGAATATGGAGACAGATATGTATAAATTAAACTGAATTATTATAGCTGGAATGCCCAAGAGAAAGAACTCAAGAAGGAAAAAAGGCTGCTCTGCAATCTTGCCAAAGGACTTCTGGAACACAGTCACTCCTGGCGTCAGCACTGCACACAACAGCCTTCCAACAGGACACAAAGCTGCTGCACCACACAAAACCACCCACTGCCCAAAGCTTAACATCTACCTTCCCTACAAAGATCCCTCATATTGCTAAACAGCTTCTGGGAATAAATCTTCAAATATCAATATCAAAGAGCACTCCAAACAAAGAGGCCTACAATCACTGCTCTTGTATGCTGCTGCTGCAGCAGCAAACAGATTTGTTAAGACATTTTTAAAAAAAAAAAAAAGTTTGTGCAGGTGTCTGTCAATATCCTACTCCAGCCTAAGTGCATATGTATATAATTTAGTCAAAGCTATAATTTTCTACTGCTTTTGGGGGGTTATGTGCCATTTATGGCCCAAATAACAGGACCTGAAATCTAGGAAAATTGTTTCTAAACTACAGAATCAGGCGTTAAGCCATTACCTCTATCTAGATGCCACAAAAAGGAACATTTACAGTAGCTGTACTGTTTTAGGGAGAAATGGGGGCAAAATATAAATGCCCGTACTATAATGTTAAAGTACTGGGGGTTTTAGCTGTATTAACACAGTCCGTGTGCAACAGTCCCTTCCACCTCACAAGGAGAAGCACATCCCAGAGACATCTCCCCACAGCACCAGTCTGTGCCTGTGATTGCTGACAGCCAGCTCCCTACCTGCCACTGTCTTCAGCATCTACTTATTGCTTTGTGTCCTCTCAAGTATGTGTTATTTATGGCTTTCTTTCCAAAGAAAAGCACTCCCTTTAAAGAAGTACCGTGATTTAGCTGAGAAGTAGACGACCCTGCGTGAAAATGTACCTTTGAAAGCTTTAGTGGATCTTACTACATTTTGATACTAAGTCCAAACTACTATTTGTGTCTTGCCAGCAGGAGCACTTCCAACGTGAAGCGACTTCACAGGAGAAGAGCCAGCAGCACGTCCCCAGCTCACGGCGCTCCTCCAGGCCTGGCTGCACGTACCCGGTCAGTCTTGCCCTCGGTCTGGACACTGGTACGGCTGCGCGCGTCCTGCTCCTCCTCCAGGTCAGACACATCCTCCAGCTCCTCGGGCGTCTGCGGAAAAGGCAGGACAGGGTTATGGTCTGCCAGACTGGGCAGCTGGCTGCTCACGTCAAACACTGATCTGCTCTGAGCTGAGGGCTGACAAACACCAGGCAGCCCTGCTGGAGCCCGTACTAAACCCTGTGTGCAAACTGGTGCTGGTAGCAAAGGTGTCTAACAAGAAACCTTTACATGACAAGGATGGATTGGGAAGGTGTCACTTACCAACTCTATTAAGCAGCATGAGTTCCTGCACAACCAGAAAAAGTAAGTGTCCTTAATTTGCTATTTTTATACATGGCATTATTTAATATACCACTGTCTGTTCCTTCCACACAAACTTCCAGTTGATGCTATGATTCTGTTTCATTTACGACAAGAAATTTTCTGTATAATCCAGATCTTCAGATTTATTTACTGCTTCCCTTTTACCAAAATATTATTAAAAGGGGTTTCATGCACAAGTTCTGAATTTTATAATAAATAACACAGCAAAAACCGCACACTGAACATGGCTTTATAAAGGACACTAAATAAAACATTAAAAGCAAGTTTATTCTATCAGCAAAACACTACATAATGAAGCATACAAACTTTTTCGGATTGTGAATCACTTGCTATTGGTTCTGCCAATGCAATCCTGAGCTCAAGAAACTTTCCTTTATCAAGTAAATTCACACTTCTAAAAAGCAAAAGTACACAGAACCAAGCTCTACAAAACTCGTGACAGATCTACCACCACCTTGACATCTAGAGTTCCAATTAGGGGGAAATCCTCATGTTCTGAGTCCCCCAAAAGCCTGACATTCCAGGAGAAACATGACAAGACCTGGGCTATCAGATAACCCAGCCATTACTTTCACCCGATTTTCAATCAAGTCATATATAATGTTTTAATCCAGACTTGCTGTATATTCTCACCTTCATGTTTTTACTGTCAAGGCATATACAAAGAAGATCTATTGAGGGGGACACTGCAGGGTTCTGTCATTTTATTTCTGGGTCCATAGCACTGTAATGGGACTGCATTAAGCTGAATAAATCCATCTGTGTGCATTTGTGCCCCTTGGGAAAGAACCTCCGTGGTCAGAGGTGGTACATTAACCACAGAGTTCAACAGCAGCCTTCAAACAAGGATCAAATAGTGCTCCATTGCTTCAGCAGCACACAGACAATTTCACTCACTGAAGAAAATCATCATTTCTATGAGATAACACTGCAAGAAATAACTCAGTATTGGTGTACAAGTTGGCAGAAATAGAACACTGGAGGTGACAAATACACTTAAACTTCTTCGCAAAAACAGACAATCGATTTCTGGGACAAAGATAAGCATAAACCTACACTGCCAAAGTGAGGGAGAGGAACATCTTATTTTCAGGCAAAGACTAACACCATTATGAAGTCTCAGTTTTAAGGCTGGAATTAGACCTAGTAAGAATTCCACAGTAGCCTAAGGCTGTTACCATACAAAAGTTGTTGGAAAAACCTGCAGTATGAAAGCAAAATTAAATTTTGGTGGTAATGGATATCCCTACAATAAAAAAACCAATCACAAACGCCCTTTAATTGAAACATTTAGGGACGCTCTTATTAGAGGACCAATAACAAAGGATATTAAAACAGAGTAACTTCAGCTTCTCAGGATTACACTGACTCCCTCAGGCAGGTAAGAGCCTCAATTAAGTTTACAGAAAAAAATAATTCCTTTTAAATTTAAACTACACTTGGGTTACAATTACAATTTTAAATACCACATTGCAACTCTTGGGTTTCAAAAAAACTAGTTTGGAATTTCTTCCCCCAATGATCATAAAGCTGGATTAATGGCAGCAGAGCACCATTTCTTCTGGGGTGAAGAGGTACTTGAGAATACCACACTTCCAATAAAGGGTTGGTTTCTTTTTAAAACACAGAATTCAAAATATTGTGACAGGGCAGAATGCTTAATAATTTTAAGACAGTCACATTATAGATATGTGAATTTTAGGTAATGTGTTTAAGACCTTTATGCCATTGTTACCCCATGACAAACTGTATATATTTACAAAAAGGTTATTTTAGGGCCATCAAGAGAATTTTGCAGAATTCCACTGACACCATTTCTCTGTGAAGTCAAGCTATGAAAATATTACTAGCCTCAACATGGAAACATTAACAAAGAGGTCAGCAAAAGGACAGTAGGATAAGACAACTCTCAATGGCAGTCTCAGGTAAGCATTCCAAAGATTAAATCATCACTGTATTAATCTGATCTGGCACTTTACAAACTGCAAATCATAGAGATCTCCTTCCAGTGGCACTGGCATAGGGATTCCCTCTCCAATTCTTTATCATATGCAGAATATTGACTCAGAGTCTAAGTGCTGCTCACTTGAACCCTTCGTGGGCTAAATGCTGTCAGAAACCTTTTTGGTTTTAAATTGCCTATGCCCTTTTCCTGTCAGTAAAACATGTTTGTGGCTGGGATGAGGAGTTTCCTGTACAAAGATTTCTCTCCCAGCCAGAGGACTGCACTCCTCTCAAGCTCTTCCCAAGTCATTCTCTCCACAGCCCACATCTGCCATGTCTTGGATTGTTAGTACCACAGAATTCAGAAAAACAAAACAAACCTAGCCAGTTATTAAAGACTAAGGACATTTCAAGCAGAGATAAGCTGCTGATTTATCAAACCTTAAATCACAAACCATAAGCTGCTGTCATTTTCAGACACATCAAAAAATGAAAAAACTCCCCACTGTAATAATGAGAACGGTAGTTACTCAATTGTTTAATTGTTTTCTCTCCTTGGAAGCTCTTTTATAAAATTCAGAGCAAAATTTGTTTTTTTTCATGTTGCTCTCATGATCCACTATTTATTAAATCCCTGAAACACACCTGTATCTGCTTTTAGGAATATTCCATGTGCCAACACATGTCTATTCAAAGGGAATGTCTGATGACTGCATGGTTAAACTGGTATGAACATGAGGACTTGCAACACAAAATAGTGTGCTGGCATCAATAAAAAGAAATTGTGCACAGGGAGAACAGCACAGCTGGAGGATTGGAGTGAGAAGCATGGAAGGAAGCTGAGAGTATCGTTTAAGACTCCTAACAGGCAAGTGACAGAAGAGGGAGAGATTTGAGTACTGTACTCAGTGACATAATGAGTACAAGACATAAATGGCAAATTCACTGTGAGACATATGAAGTATGGGATTTCCAGTAAATGCTGAGGGGTAAAATGAAGCACGAGACTCCATTCAGCAACAACCTACAGACTCATATGTAACACAGTGGTAAATGGAGTCTAGAAACAAATTTGGACAAACAAAAATTAAGTTTCCAGCAGTCACAGGAGCAGAACTCTTGAATAGTCTCCTGTGGAAGTGCTGGAGGAGGGGAGAAATTCCTTCCAAGATGAAGCCTAAACTACAAACAAAGTGATGGAGCAGCTTATGGCAGTAAAAGTGAGACACAAGGGCAGGCAGGACACCTGCCCCAGCCCCTGGCCCAGGACTGAAAGAGATTTCAGTCCTTCGTGAAAAGCCTTTGCTGATCCTGACAAAAACACATTCGAGTACATTCCTACACATCAATTCTAGGCTGTAATTCCATTACTGTGGCTGACAAGCTACACAAGTAGCATGTACTTCTCACATTTCAATGATCGTAATAAGTCTGCATTCTCAGTGGGCTTGCTACTGAAAAACTCAGGCTGAAGACTCAAAGTCATATTTATAGCAAAGTCTAATATTGATGAATTTGACACCTTGCTGGTACTCAACTGCAAGCCACAGCAGCACATCATTACTATTGCACCCAGGTGATTTCAGGATATGAATTACCTTTTCATCTATGAAAATGAAAACCACTCTCTGATGACAAGCCTTTTAATTTGCTTTTCTATGAGGATTTTAAAGGGAATAATTATAAATAATTATAAAACCAAGGTCTGGCCCTACTCTTTAGATTGCTGCCAGTTTTCCTAAACTGGTTGCAAATAGGCTTTTTGATTTCTCTGGTTTTTAATCCAAGCTTTGTAGAACAATTTGACTAAGTTTCACAGCATCTTCTCCAACACAAAGTTTTTTATGAAAACCCTCCTCAGAAGTGGTTCTCCAAAGAACTTTGTCTATATCATTTGCTTCTCAAGGTCACATACAACCCCTATGGAACTGGCAATCCTGCCAATAAAGGGCTTCACCTGCTAGAATATAATGTAGAGCCTGGTCTAAAATCTCAAGATATGCAGCATAATTGGACAAACAGGCATTATGGTGTAAAAGGAATCTATCTTCTCTCATCTAACATTCAATTAAATGCTGACCTTCACACTGTTATTATATGCTCTTATACTTTATCTTATCTTGGTTTCAACAGCCCCATCAGTCATTCTTTTTCACAGATCAATGCTAAAATGCAGAGCAGACTAACACCTTAACAGGAGCTAAACTGATAAGTGATGTCTTTATTTTACTACTGCAAATGCAGTTATTTGTGCTATGTAAATCCCACAGCAGCAGCAGAAATGCATGCTGCATGCACTGTAGGAGGATGAGAGTTTGTCCATTATGTCCTTCAATGAGCACACAATGGTTTACAGAGATTACCTGTTCTACTGTGGACAATTGCCTAACAGCCAGATTTCGAACATCTCATCCTGTTGGGCTGCACCTCACTCAGTGTGACAAACCACAGTTACATTTGTGACACGTGCCACCAATGCAAAAATGTCATGCTCTGCAAATATTTAGCTACTGAGTGATATTTTTGTATATTAGTCACAACACCACCATTATCTTACACACAATTCTGCCAGATGACACACTGCCAGGGCAAGAGTGTTGATGCACTAGAAAGACAACAAGAAACCACATGCATTGTTTATCTTTTCTGACTAGCTGAGTAAGAGCCCCACATAATTGTTGCTATCTAGTAATTTAAAGTACTTATCAAGTTTTTGCTAAAAGCAGTTGAGTGTTGAGAACAATAAATCCCACATCATAAAAGTAAAATTAAAATACTAC